AATTGAATTGAATTGAATTGAATAATATGTGAATGCCAACTTTTAGTGGCGCACTGCGTTTCCTGCCGACGTCAGAGCAGAACAAAGCAACGCGTTAGGTCCATAAAGCTGCAAACCAAAGGAGGCATCGTCTTAGAAAAAAACAAAAAGAGCTTGACCCAAGCCCCAGAGACTGATTATCACTATTTTACATTTCTGCATCATTTTTTCCTGGAATTCGGAGGAGAACAGATTTGCTGAACTGCAGCGAATCAAGTCGATCTCCTTTACTCGCACACTGTCACGCTTTGCAGTTTTAGACTCGATTCATGCACGCTGTGAGTACGACCACTTGATTCTCATGTGTCTTCAGGATTTGTTTGCTGCATGAATGGCAAAAAAACAGCAGGAGGAAAAAAAATCAATTAAAAAAAAGTAAAAAACATCTGTGGTTGGACTTTCTAAGCATCTAGTAAATAAAGCCGTTGTATTGTGCTTAGGTTTAGAGACAGTGCAGTCCGTTTCACCCATACTTAACTGGATCCAAAACGAATTTTTGATTTAAAAAATAATCTATTTGCTCGTAAATAAAAGTTTATACTGACAAGAAGAAGCAGAAAGCTATCATTCCACACCATTAAATGGTTACTGTGGCTTTAAAACATGTGGTAACAGCTGAGCAACTGGGATAAAGAGGAGAAAACACAATAATGCATGAGGAAGGAACATCACACATTATTGAACCAAACACAAGCAAGCCGAACAGTGTCAAACAATGACGACCTCTTATTACTATATTAATTAACTGTGAACTGATAATCTATTAACTCTTACTTCAAAGTGGCAGGCAGTGATGATTACATTTGCAGCTTTTTCACAAGTAATCATTTGTGAATCTCTAAGTTCATGTAAAAAAACAAAAACTGGAGTTGATCGAATATTTTAAAAAAAAGGCATTTCTTAGAATCCACTGTGGCAAATAAAATAATTCAATCAGTTAGCAGAACCATGCGGTGCTTGTGTCTCAGCTAAACGCTCAGACTTAAAAAGAAACAAAAAAACGACAACAAAAAAAACGGCTTTATTGAATTTTTTTCATAATAAATTAAAAGGATTAGTGCTTTTAAGGACTACAGCTTTAAAAATAACCTCTGCGTCACACCCCGCACATTTCACTTCACGTTTTGCTTCACTCTCATCTGCTGAGACGGAGCGGTTCACACATTCTTTCCAGATCAGGCTGGGGGAATATTTTAAAAACTAGTTTGGGATCAAATTCAGCTTATGGCTTTGACATTTACCTTGAGTTAGAAACAAAAACAAAGAAGACACCATGCCAATCTAAACGTTGGCTACAAACTGCCCTCATGTCAGTTTGTCTTATGTTTGTATCATTTTTGTAGATATAGTGACACGGGAGTGTAACTCCTCTTATCCGCCTTACCAGCATTGCAATTGAGGCAGCAGAGTCCCTGGTGCAAGTACTGTTCATTCTCCACGCAGGATTTGTGTAGTCGAAGTGTTCGGTTTACGTATGCTTCATTGGACCACTGAGCTGCTGGAGGTTCTGCTGCACGACACACAACCCAGATGAAGAGTGCTGCCACCTTCACCTGCATCGTCAAGGTCTGGGAGACAAACAGGGAGGAAGAAGAAAAGATGAGATTCGGGTTATTTTTGTGCATCCACAGTAGGCCGACTAACCCGCAATCAAACTCATAAGATAAAGGAAAGCAAAGAGGAGAATCTATCTTCATAGGAAACCTTGTGTGAGCAATCTACATCTTAATTTGAACCATCTGATCTCAACATCTGCCGTGGGAAGCAATTAAGGGAGCTGTGCAGCCGGTCAGAACTAGAGGCAACACAAACTCGTGTGTGCAGGATGCAGAGCTACACGCTAACTACATGCAGCGCAACAGGCAGCCAAACTTAATTAGGCCTTGATCTGGTTTTCCTCTAGTTCAAAAAAAGGGAGGAAAAAAAAAAAGGCAGAGAATCTGCTTCCTCTGCTGTGGATGTAAAAGACAGAGTTTGATAAGGTATCTTAACTAACAGCAGCATGATGCCCATATCAAATGCGGGTTCAGAAATCCATTCATGGGCTGGATAATAACAGGCTTGTATAGGTGGGGTACTGAGAAGAATACAGCCGAAACACTTTAGTGCGGCCCCCGGGCGATGGTGTTTATTCACACGCTTTTCACCGTGTCAACGTGAGAAGGCCCCATTCACTGGCAAACAACGCACTTTAGTGCCTCTACTTCAAATGACCCACATTCTTAAAGCCAGACTCTTTGAATGCCGGGACATGCGACACCGACATGAAGCGCCTCGAATGCAACACGACACCTCGTGGGTAAATGAAAGTCCTAGATTTGGAGGTTTTGTCTTCTCCCGTGTGCACACCCCCACAACCACCCCACCCCGACCTCTGTTAAAGCAGGAGAGAGAATATGGGACAGGCTGGGTGGAAAGGGCTGAGTAGTGAAAGGGGGGGGGCAGAAACTGTAGACAGCAGGTTGAAGATGGGATGTTCTACAGGGAATAGGCACTCTAAAAAGGACAGTGTGGGAGAATGAGGGGAATAAAAGCTGAGAGCACATAGGCAGAGGTAGAGAAAGAGGAACGGGCTGGGGAAGAGACCGACTCCTGACGCTAGACTTGACTCTCTGGAGGGCCGCCATGCCTTGTTGTTCAAAGGAACTTTCCTCCCTCTCTCTTTCCCTCTGCCTTTTCCCTTCTTCCTCTCCCTCTGCTCACGTCAGACTTTCCAAAGACGCTGAGAAGCAGACGTGGAGTTACAGACGGCCGGCAGAGCAGTCACAATCACACCATTTACATCTATCCAAACATTCTGGGGAACGGGGGAGGCAGAAGAGAGAGGGAGAGAAAGTGAGAGGGGGGGGGAAACTAACAGCTTGCATGACACGGGGTGAGTCTTTAGACTTGAATATACTGTGTGTAAGACTGTGGGGTGGGTGGGGATGTGGAGAGACGGAGAAAATCTGTGCACAAGCGCACGCTACAGACAAAAACAGTGGAAAGAAAACAGGAAACTAAAGAAATGAAGGAGCTGCGCTAAAGGTAATCTTATACCCCACAACGCAGGCACAGACTGTGAAGCTGTGCTCGGTATTCAGGAATATCTTTAATAGAGTGTCTTTACAGAGCACAGCCCATTGAAGGGTGCCTCTCTGACAGTAAACATGAACGGACAGTGCTGATATTACATCATTTCCAGGCTTTGTTCGTTTCAAGGCCTGCGATTCCAAACACTCCCAGGTGCAGCCGTTCTCAGTAGCTAACCTGTTATTATCGGCAAGGTTACGACAAGAAAAGATGCAACATTTCTTTTTTTAAACTGTTGACTCTGCCACTTCATTTAATTTCACAGTCCAAACAAATGTCTTGCTTCTTTACCTTGCTTCTTTGTCTTACTGGTCTGATCGCAGTTGCGTAAAACCGAGAAAATAGCTAACTCTTACACTGAAGTAGCTCTAACAAATACATTTATTCACTGATTGTTGCTCAGCAAACCATAAAGGGTTTAAATGACGGAATCAAAAATATAATCTTTTCTCTAAAGTTGGATCTATGGCCCTGCACTGGTGCAATTGTGGGGTTTCAGATAATACAGAAGCTGCTAACATGCACTTACAGTACATGCGCAGTCCCAACAGTGATGGTGCAGTGCGTCAGTCAAATATTGACTGGTTTAAAAGTTAGCTTTACCAGGAAAGGAAACCACAGTGGAGTTCACCATGAGGAGGAAGAAATGCATAAAGGAACATCAAATACCAAAGAAAAGCAGTTTTTAGTGTTTAACACTTTTTTTAGTCCACACTACAAAGATGTTCTTTGTCTATTATGACTGCTATCTTCTCTGCTGAAGCTAAAGGACCGGCAACAACACAAACGCATAACTTTCATAGCAACCCAAGTGACAGCAGAAAGCTCCAACGTGCAAACATGGACCTACAGAGCGTTGCACCTACAGGACTACAAGCACAGCACCATGAGTCTTGTGGTATTTCTTGAACACAGCCTTACTTGCACACAAGGAAAAGAAACAAGGCCACACGTCCACACTAATATCCTAAGGCTTCTGAACTACGCTGGCACAAAAGTAGAGCATATACAAACACTATGGGCAGCCACAATGTGGCTTGGTTTAACCTCCACAAACCAAGTGAGGAGGAATAGTGGAGTGACCGTAACCTCAGCGTAGCAAGCCCTCCAAACCCTCCAATTCCTGGAAACACTCCAACTTCAGCAGAAGTGGCCCAGTCCTTCTCTCTCCCCTGCCAAATGAGAGAGCTTGGCTACAGATAATTTGCTAAAACAGTGTCCTATTGTTATACAGTCTGCATGTATGATAAGTTAATACTCTACATGGGTGGATGCAAGTTAAACTAATAAGTAGCAATACAATAATAAGGGACTTTCTGTGCATCGACAACAGGAGCAACACTCCACTTCCTCTAAGCACCCGGGTTCCTCCAAATTGCCTTGGCACAAACTCTGCACATGCCATGTACACTGAGAATGCGTTTGTGACTAAATGACAGGACATCCTTTCAGTTTTGACCCAGGTTATCAATGGGCCATTTAGACGGCTGTGATCACCCTGTATTCCTGAGGAAATTACAGTAAGCCCCTTTATTAAAGAAATAAAGATGGGCAGAAACAGAAAATGCGAGGGTCTCTCTCTCGCCCCGTCTCTCACGCAGACATGCACAATACGTGCAAACAAACTAAGATAGCGTCTTCATTTCATATCGGACAGATGATTTCAATCATAGCCAACTGATAAGCAAAGACATCATGCACCTCATTATAGTCCTGCATCCAGAGCAGGACCTGATTTTCCATATCATGCTTTTCTTATTAGAAAATAAATTTCTTTCATCAATTAAGGGACAGCTTGGACACCGCGCAGCCGACGTCACACTACATGCACAAAATACGGCTGACGAGGAAAAGAGTTGAGATTAAAAAGCACAGTTATGTTGTTACTCATAAAACACACACCTTTAACTCAGCCGCCTACACTTTTCTTTGGTGTAGTCTAAAGGAAACCAGTTGTAGTTGTTGTTTTTTTTTTT